TATAAGGTCATAGCTAGATGTAGGGCATGGTTGGGACATATATAAGGTCATAGGTAGATGAAGCACATGGCTGGGACATATATAAGGTCACAGTTAGATGTAGGAGATGGCTGGGACGCATGTAAGGTCATAGCTAGATGTAGGGCATGGTTGGGACATATATAAGGTCATAGGTAGATGTAGGGCATTGTTGGGACATATATAAGGTCATAGGTAGATGTAGGGCATGGTTGGGACATATATAAGGTCATAGGTAGATGTAGGACATGACTGGGATGCATGTAAGGTCATAGCTAGATGTAGGGCATGGTTGGGACATATATAAGGTCATAGCTAGATGTAGGGCATGGTTGGGACATATATAAGGTCATAGGTAGATGAAGCACATGGCTGGGACATATATAAGGTCACAGTTAGATGTAGGAGATGGCTGGGACGCATGTAAGGTCATAGCTAGATGTAGGTCATGGTTGGGACATATATCAGGTCATAGCTAGATGTAGGGCATGGCTGGGACGCATGTAAGGTCATAGCTAGATGTAGGAGATGGCTGGGACGCATGTACGGTCATAGCTAGATGTAGGGCATGATTGGTTTTTATACATGGTTGTAGTGAGAAGCATGTCATATTATGCTGTGACAATTCATAATATTCAGTTATTCGCTATGTTCTTGTTATTATATCTTTTGAAATTACCAGTTGTACGACAGTCCCCAGACACAGCATGAAATGTTCCATATACCAGCACCAAACTTCCAATTGAAGCAAATGAAGAAACAAATTAACAACAACATTCTCACCCCCAAATGACAGAGACTAACATCTATATCCTGAGGTTATTATGATGGTGATAAAACTATCCTCCTATCTGCTGGATGAATCTTACCTGTGTCAGGCAACTGGTGCAAAACCCTTCAGGTAACTTGTCCTCACCTCGTCTAGGGGATATGTCTACAATTTACTTGTTGGGTTTGTTGGACCTTTACCTTTTGCTGATCAAATCTAAATGAATACCCAGTACTAACAACAAATGTTGTCCTCATTGAAAAGAGGTTTTATTCTCATGCAGTGTTTAATCTAGCATATTTGAATTATCAAAATCAAGTTGTAATAAGTAGTAGAAATTTATATATTCAGGACATCACTCATACTATTGACAGAGAACTTCACTACAACATCCTAAGAACATCTCCAGAACATCTCCAGAACATCACTCGAACAACAAATTCTTTGTAAATGTATGCTTGTGACAACTTCAGTCCCTTTGACAGAATCAGGCAACAGTTTTACAAAAAATGTTTATGAATAATGAATAATGTTTTCATATCATCATCAGGTGTGCAAACAATCATCGTAAAAGAAACACAAAAATTAAAAAAAGAAAGCCACAAGAATTTATAATAGCATGTGACAGATTTCATTGCTAGCATGTTGCACTTGCTGTGCTACAGCCTTGACTGTGTCACAACATACAGTGTGACATAGGAGCCAGCTGTTGGGACCTGTGGGTCAGTGAAGCCAGTTCCCCACCAGATAAACACTGGGCTACACAGGAGATTAACATCACAACTCTCCTACAGTATTAGATAACGGCTCGTGCGCCAAGTGGATTACTTTCTTGTTTGAAGAAGATTTGACGCCTGATATGAATTTTAATCTTGGTCTTAGTGGGATGTCATTCAACCTTAAGTGTCACTTCTCACTCTCCCTGTTGCTAAGGACTTGTGTGCCTTGTGAGGGCTCATTTCATGGCAAATTGGTACATTCTACACTGAAATTTTACATAACATAAATCATTTTATTCTCAATTTTCAGTGTTGAATCCATCACATATTTAATATATTCTGTAGAAGGTTAAAAATATACATTAAAAATTTAGAAGTTTATGCTTTTTCAAATGTGTTACCAATTTATTAGAAAAAGGTTGCTTGCATTGTGTGAAAAATTCTCCAGGAAGCGTTTGTCACGTTTCTCCTCAATATTAGCTGTGTGTAAAATATACCTTCTGTTTAAAGTACCTTTTTATTCATCTTTGTATAAAGGGGAGGTTATCCCATGTGCAAACATCCAGTGTGATGTGTAGTGCTCCGTGCCTGGTAATTGGATGTCCCCATTCTTGTTTTTATCAGCGAGTTGTGGTTTGAAAATAATGGTGTATGTCCCAGCACACGCCTTGTGTCTTGATTTTTGTAAGCGGTCCACCAGGAAATGTTTTCCTTATAAACATTGTCATTATCATTTAATATAACCTATGGGGGAAAAAGCTTTCAGTTTAGATACCCCTTGACGAAAGGTTACACCTCATTTTGATGTTAGTTTAGAATGCATGTTTGAACAATGTGACAAAATGTTACTTCTGTTTGATATGAATTTCTTTATTCAATATTTTAGTTCTTCAAGACGTGCTGAGTTGAGTTATTGGAATCCAGTCTGTTTCAATGGCTTGTTTATATTTTTATGTTCACAGTTTGGACATATTTTAAGATATGATGAGATTTTGAAGTTTGTGCATGACGATAAAATAAGCATTATAATATTTTGTGTTGTGTTTTGTAAATGTCAACTTGGCATGCAGATGACCAATTTCAGACAACCACCGAAATAATCGACAGAACCAGTGTAGGGTCCCAAGTATTGAGAGTAGTTCAGCCATGCTGTGGCTTGAAGGCAATAGGTCTTGTTGAACTGTACGTTTCTTCTATGAGTTACTTTCAGATTTGTATCTTTTGTGACATATATTTTAATCATTTCTTTATGTTAGACAACTTGTCCTTTGTATGTACATGTGTATCGTGTTCGGTATGGCTTGCACTGTGGACATTGGATGGACATGTGTATCATGTTCGGTAGGGCGTGCACTGTGGACATTTTATGGACATGTGTATAATGTTCGGTAGGGCGTGCACTGTGGACATTGGATGGACGTTTGTATCGTGTTCAGTAGGGCGTGCACTGTGGACATTGGATGGACATGTGTATCATGTTCGGTAGGACTTGTACTGTGGACATTGGATGGACGTGTGTATCGTGTTCGGTAGGACTTGCACTGTGGATATTGGATGGACATGTGGATCATGTTCGGTAGGACTTGTACTGTGGATATTGGATGGACATGTGGATCATGTTCGGTATGGCTTGCACTGTGGACATTGGATTGACATGTGTATCATGTTCGGTAGGGCGTGCACTGTGGACATTGGATTGACATGTGTATCATGTTCGGTAGGACTTGTACTGTGGACATTGGATGGACGTGTGTATCGTGTTCGGTAGGACTTGCACTGTGGACATTGGATTGACATGTGTATCATGTTCGGTAGGACTTGTACTGTGGACATTGGATGGACGTGTGTATCGTGTTCGGTAGGACTTGCACTGTGGACATTGGATTGACATGTGTATCATGTTCGGTAGGACTTGTACTGTGGACATTGGATGGACGTGTGTATCGTGTTCGGTAGGACTTGCACTGTGGACATTGGATTGACATGTGTATCATGTTCGGTAGGACTTGTACTGTGGACATTGGATGGACGTGTGTATCGTGTTCGGTAGGACTTGCACTGTGGATATTGGATGGACATGTGGATCACGTTCGGTATGGCTTGCACTGTGGACATTGGATGGACGTGTGTATCATGTTCGGTAGGACTTGCACTGTGGACATTGGATGGACAGTGACTTGCATCTCGGTCGGCTTGTCCTCCACATACAGCCTGCATTCAGATTTATTTGCCACAGTTTGGATCCCCGTCTATTGGGTTTTTATGTTATGATTTCAAAGCAAATGACATACAGTCATTATTCCTTTGTTTGCTATAACATTGCAATGTAAATAGATCTATGCATTACATAGTATCATCCCTCAGAATCTAAAACTACCCCCTGTTTGAAAAGCAAACAGGAGCTTTACACTTCTTCGGTCTACTTTGAAATGTAAAACATGCTAACATACTATTGGCTAGCACAGCAAACAGGTCTGCTTTTTATTGACTGAAGATGCAAAGTTTAAAAACATCTGAAGGTTAACACCCATGTTATTTACTCTTCTCATTTCACAGTCATTCATTTTGTGAATCATCACATGTCTGCTTGCTTTGTCCATTCAGGCAAAAGATTTATAGATTTCTGTCAATATAAGTGAAAACTTCAAAGGGTTCAACACATGAAGCAGAAATGATCTGGACCTTGGTGAGTGGCGAGTCTCACTGCCATGGTCTTCAGATCAGCTGTGCTTTCATCAGAGGGGAAGGATTTATGATCGTGTTACATCCCAGGCAGTCTCACCTGTTTCTGAGTTTGTTCAACTTGTTTGACTGTAGGTACAGGAATGGTTTCCGACAAACAGGCAATTTGCGTACAATCAAGAGTGTTTGTAATATGTTTGAGAGGACATTATTATTTCCACTTCCAAACTTTACACCAAACCAGACCAAAACATATGTTGCTAAACTGTAACCAATGTTGTATTTTTTTATCATAATGAAATATTTTTTACTTTATTTGGGGAATGGACAGGTTACTGCATATGTTTTACTTCTCAATATAATGCTTCTTTTCATTATTTTAACAAGTATTTTTTGGATTGTGTCACCCAAAATACTCAATACAAATTCATTGTATTACAAGAATACCTAGATGCATATAAAAGTGTGCCTTGACCTACTCAAGAGACATGGTAGCATTCCTTACCTACTTCCATGACCTGTAAAACTGACAGTCTCTGCTGTATTCAGTCATTTTTTTGCAGAGCTCAGAAATGCAGAAGTTTTTTTTTTCCTGCCTCAGAATCAGTCAAATACACTGCAGAAGTGTTTTCTGTGAATTAAAACCCTAGGGTTAATATATAAGTTACATATACTCGCAGAACATTCTACAACAGATTTTAAAATTATTTTTTATGAAAGTGCTAAAATCAGTATTACAGAAGCACATGTTTTGTGGTTTCATGCTGTGACTTTCAGAGAAGTAGGTCTGATGATTTACTTTAATGTTTCAGTTAAGCGCCACACGACATGCCGAGGATGATTGGCCGCTTGGATACAAGGGAGCAGTCATTGTACACATCTACAACACCTCTGACCAAGAACAACTTGCGGAGGGAGAATTTCTTTTCTGTGTATGTACGCAGAGTAGGGATTGCCCGTGTTTGGTGTTAAGGTATCAGGGTACTGATGGTGTTCATGAATATCTTGTATTAGAAAGCGAATACAGGGAGGTGTTCACAATGGATTGGGTACGCAAGAAGCCGCCAAAAACAGAAGATCAAGATTGGCCACGAGTGCTCCGGAACTGCCTGGCTATCATGGAGGAAAAGATCCAACGCTTACGTTGGGAGGAAGTAGCTGGGGACATGGAAACAGAGGATTCTGGGAGTTGTGCAAGTGCTTCAAAGGATTCAGACATATCTGGGAGTCAGGAAGCTAACCCAAGTTCAGACTCTGCTGTTGTTAATGGTAAGCCTTCTTTAGCACATTTTTAGCTGATTTAATGTCTGTCATCAATCCATTCATTGTTAAGCTTTTGCATTGTCTATGAAGCCACAAGGTCTATGATGCTGAAACTTTCCTGGATGATTCCAGGAACAATGTGAATAGCACTTATATGCAAATTTTGCCCATATACAATAATAATCTATTTTTGCATGTGTCATTTTGACATGCAGTAAGTTTATGGTTTACGTAGTAACATATATACTATATTTTGTGGCATACTTTTATTTTTTTCCCCTACTTTTGCCAATCAGTCCTTATGAAATATTCTTATTGTTTTGTTGTAATGAAACTTCTGTTGTTTCTTTACCCCTTTGTAAAGACCTTTGTACCTAATGGTGAAAATATTCAAGAAGGTACAAGTGAGCTACAGAGCCTTTGTGGTTCTGTTATACCTCCGTTGCCACCTCTCCACTTGGAAAGACTATGCAGCTGTCAGGTGACTGGCAGATTGGAAGTTCCCCTGGTGCCACTCACTGTTGCTGACACTATCAACCACTGGATGGCTGCATTTCCATGTTTTTGCTCCTATGTTAGTGTCTTATGGATGGCATCATGCAATCTCATTAACTTGCTTCTCACTGGTGACGTTCCAAGTAAGAACTGGCGACTTTATGATTGAAGTTCGGTGACATGGTTCTTTGTACCAGAGGGGCATGGGATGTTGCTCATAAGGTTAACTGCTGGATTGTGTGGTCCAGACTTTATTATTTGCATGGTGCCTCCATATAGTTGGAATAACAACCTTAGTGGGAACTGATTTGATTACTCTACTGATATTTATTCATACAAGGCAAGAATAAATATGGTCTCTCCCCCCCCACACACACACACACGTGTACATGCAAGACGTTAAACCTCATTTCACCTCACCTCAGTTGCCAATGAATTCAGGCTATTGGAATTTCAGGGTAGATATATATTTCACTTGATTAAATACAGCTAAATAGAAGGGCTTTAGTTCTCCTAACAGTGTTCAGTGATGAAGGACCAGCAAATCTTAAATGGTTCTCTGTATAACAACTTTACAATAGCAATTAGCTGAGTTAGTTCATGTAATTGTCCATGGATCAGAGTAAAGTATTTTTGGTGTTGGTTAATAATTGAATGTTAATGACATAATTCTTAAGTGCTAATCCGATTTCAAGACTATAAAGCCTCACAATCTCTATAATGTCTTGTTTCATTATGCTGGGCTGGGCTCCTCAATCGTGTGTAGTCATGTGTTTCTTGGGGATCTCTGTGGGGGAACTTGGGAAGAAACGCTACAACACATTAATAGGATTTAATCTTTGTACACCTGGTTTATGGTTTTCCAATTAATAAGCTGGGAAGGAAATCATTTTAAGTTTCCATTTTTACTGATAACTGAATTGATTTAATTTTTTTTGCTTTATAAGATCAGTATGATCAAGTCGTGTGTGTTAGGATAAAAAACTAGTTAATGTCTGTACCCATTATTGGCTGTGGTAATCTCTGGTTGAAAGGCTGTCATGGAAAACAGATTGGATTACTTAAAGAACTGGACTGCTTGTAGCACTGACATGCAGGCTGCATACACATGGGTGGACATTGCATAGACATTCCATGCAAAGTTGTGCCCCTCAACTTATGACTTTGATAATTTAAATGTCAGTATTTGAAAATTAAATCCTGTTAGTATTTGCCAGGCTTAACTCAAACGAGCCAGGATAAGTGGTGCATACATGTACATAGGCCGACAAAGTCTCATCAAGAAAACTTTTGTGTTACACTTTAGCATCTGGGTTTTTTCTGTTTGAAATTTGAGGTTGCTAATTGATTGTAGCAAGATCTAACAAAAATACAAATCTCCAAGGAGAATTAGGGTGTGATACAGGTGATGCCTTGCATGGTTGAAATGAAGCTTACAGTACCTTAGGTAGAAAATCATCCTACATGAAGATATTCAGTGGTAGTATAGTGAGCATAAGAGGGATCTATGACTGAAGTTATACTGTCTACCTGCCATCACGGGGCACAAGACTGAAGTAATACTGTCTCCCTGCCATTGTGTTGCACTAGACTTAAGTAATACTGTCTCCCTGCCATTGTGTTGCACTAGACTGAAGTAATACTGTCTACCTGCCATAATGTTGCACTAGACTGAAGTAATACTGTCTCCCTGCCATCACGGGGCACAAGACTGAAGTAATACTGTCTCCCTGCCATCACAGGGCACAAGACTGAAGTAATACTGTCTACCTGCCATTATGTTGCACTAGACTGAAGTAATACTGTCTACCTGCCATTGTGTTGCACTAGACTGAAGTAATACCATCTACCTGCCATCACGGGGCACAAGACTGAAGTAATACTGTCTCCCTGCCATCACAGGGCACAAGACTGAAGTAATACTGTCTACCTGCCATCACAGGGCACAAGACTGAAGTAATACTGTCTACCTGCCATTATGTTGCACTAGACTGAAGTAATACTGTCTACCTGCCATTATGTTGCACTAGACTGAAGTAATACTGTCTCCCTGCCATCACTGGGCACAAGACTGAAGTAATACTGTCTCCCTGCCATCACAGGGCACAAGACTGAAGTAATACCGTCTACCTGCCATTGTGTTGCACTAGACTGAAGTAATACTGTCTACCTGCCATCACGGGGCACAAGACTGAAGTAATACTGTCTACCTGCCATTATGTTGCACTAGACTGAAGTAATACCGTCTACCTGCCATCACGGGGTACAAGACTGAAGTAATACCGTCTACCTGCCATTGTGTTGCACTAGACTGAAGTAATACTGTCTCCCTGCCATCACAGGGCACAAGACTGAAGTAATGCTGTCTACCTGACATTATGTTGCACTAGACTGAAGTAATACCGTCTACCTGCCATCACGGGGCACAAGACTGAAGTCATATTGTCTCCCTGCCATCACAGGGCACAAGAGTGAAGTAATACTGTCTCTCTGCCATCACAGGGCACAAGACTGAAGTAATGCTGTCTACCTGCCATTATGTTGCACTAGACTGAAGTTATACTGTCTCCCTGCCATCACGGGGCACAAGACTGAAGTCATATTGTCTCCCTGCCATCACAGGGCACAAGACTGAAGTAATACTGTCTCTCTGCCATCACAGGGCACAAAACTGAAGTAATACTGTCTTCCTGCCATTGTTGCACTAGACTGAAGTAATACTGTCTCCCTGCCATCACGGGGCACAAGACTGAAGTAATACTGTCTCCCTGCCATTGTGTTGCACTAGACTGAAGTAATACTGTCTCCCTGCCATTGTTGCACAAGACTGAAGTAATACTGTCTCCCTGCCATCACAGGGCACTAGACTGAAGTAATACAGTCTCCCTGCCATTGTTGCACTAGACTGAAGTAAAACTGTCTACCTGCCATTACGGGGCACAAGACTGAAGTAATACTGTCTCCCTGCCATTGTTGCACTAGACTGAAGTAATACTGTCTCCCTGCCATTGTGTTGCACTAGACTGAAGTAATACTGTCTACCTGCCATCACAGGGCACAAGACTGAAGTAATCCTGTCTCCCTCCCATTGTTGCACTAGACTGAAGTAATACTGTCTCCCCACATCAGAGGGCACAAGACTGAAGTAATACTGTCTCCCTGCCATTGTGTTGCACTAGACTGAAGTAATACTTTCCCCCTGCCATCACGGGGCACTAGACTGAAGTAATACTGTCTCCCTGCCATCATGGGGCACAAGACTGAAGTAATACTGTCTCCCTGCCATCACAGGGCACTAGACTGAAGTATTACTGTCTCCCTGCTATCACAGGGCACTAGACTGAAGTAATACTGTCTCCCTGCCATCACAGGGCACTAGACTGAAGTAATACTGTCTCCCTGCCATCACGGGGCACAAGACTGAAGTATTACTGTCTCCCTGCCATCACAGGGCACTAGACTGAAGTAATACTGTCTACCTGCCATTATGTTGCACTAGACTGAAGTAATACTGTCTACCTGCCATTGTGTTGCACTAGACTGAAGTAATACCATCTACCTGCCATCACGGGGCACAAGACTGAAGTAATACTGTCTCCCTGCCATCACAGGGCACAAGACTGAAGTAATACTGTCTACTTGCCATCACAGGGCACAAGACTGAAGTAATACTGTCTACCTGCCATTATGTTGCACTAGACTGAAGTAATACTGTCTACCTGCCATTATGTTGCACTAGACTGAAGTAATACTGTCTCCCTGCCATCACTGGGCACAAGACTGAAGTAATACTGTCTCCCTGCCATCACAGGGCACAAGACTGAAGTAATACCGTCTACCTGCCATTGTGTTGCACTAGACTGAAGTAATACTGTCTACCTGCCATCACGGGGCACAAGACTGAAGTAATACTGTCTACCTGCCATTATGTTGCACTAGACTGAAGTAATACTGTCTCCCTGCCATCACAGGGCACAAGACTGAAGTAATGCTGTCTACCTGACATTATGTTGCACTAGACTGAAGTAATACCGTCTACCTGCCATCACGGGGCACAAGACTGAAGTCATATTGTCTCCCTGCCATCACAGGGCACAAGAGTGAAGTAATACTGTCTCTCTGCCATCACAGGGCACAAGACTGAAGTAATGCTGTCTACCTGCCATTATGTTGCACTAGACTGAAGTTATACTGTCTCCCTGCCATCACGGGGCACAAGACTGAAGTCATATTGTCTCCCTGCCATCACAGGGCACAAGACTGAAGTAATACTGTCTCTCTGCCATCACAGGGCACAAAACTGAAGTAATACTGTCTTCCTGCCATTGTTGCACTAGACTGAAGTAATACTGTCTACCTGCCATCACGGGGCACAAGACTGAAGTAATACTGTCTCCCTGCCATTGTGTTGCACTAGACTGAAGTAATACTGTCTCCCTGCCATTGTTGCACAAGACTGAAGTAATACTGTCTCCCTGCCATCACAGGGCACTAGACTGAAGTAATACAGT